GGTACTATTTAGAAAAAAAAATTAAGAAAATCATTTTGTTAAAAAAAAAAAAAAAAAAAAAAAAAAAAAAAAAATCCCTACCTACCTACCCTAATTTTTTTGGAAGTGTAACCGGAACCACACATATTTTTTTGTTTGGCCTAAACACTAATTTAAAAAAGTGAGGTCAAGGTCAAAGGAAAAGTCAAGGTCAAAAAAGTTGATGCAATTGATATCTCTCAACAGTATAATTATATCAGCATATGAAGTTTGATAAATATATCTTGAATTGTTTATTCAAAACTGATCTAGACACTAATTTAAGAAAAGTAAGGTCAAGGTCAAAGGAAAATTCAAGGTCAAAAATTTTGATGCAGTTGAAAAGCTTACATCAGTATGTATCAGCATATGACGTTTTATTGAAGTCGGACATGACAAACACTATATGCCTCGGCCATATTCATGGCAGGGCATAAAAAACTTGAATCTACACTATATGAGGATGTTTCCATATCAAAATGACTAACAAGCAAATTCAAAGAATTGTGGTCCCCTGCTTTCCGTGTCCTAGTGGATGGGATGCCATTATTTATGACATATTGTTTCAAATATGCACGCCCTATCATATGTCATTCAAAAGTAATCACCAAAGTTAAAATTTTTGAAAATTAGGTAAAACATCAAGGTCAAGGGGTAAAAAATCATAGCATGCTTGGAAACATATTGTTACAGGTAATGTACATGTCAAATATAAAAGTACTATCTCTTCTCAATCAAAAGTTATAAGGAAATATAACATTTTTGAAAAGTAGGTTAAACTTCAAGGTCAATGTCACAGAGTCAAAAGTCATGATATATTTAGAAAGGTCTTGTCACAGGTAATATACATGTATAATATGAACGCCCTATCTTTTCTCTTTCAAAATGATCATTTGAAATAATGTTAAATTTTTTGAAAAGTAGGTCAAACTTCAAGGTCAAGGTCATGGGTTCAAAAATCATGGTATGTTTAGAAAGTTCTTGTAGGTAATGTACATGTGAAATATGAAATCCCTATCTCTTATTATTCAGAAGTTATGACCAAGGTTAAATTTATTGTGACAGACGGACAGACTGACAAACGGACAGACTGACAGACAAATGAGATTTAATGTCCCCTAGGTCCCTTTTGTGAAAACGGACGACAATAATGCCCTTGCTATTCATGAGAAGAAGATTTATGATGGAAAAAATCCCCTGCATTTTTCTATGTAAATCATTGGATCCCCATATGTGGCCCCATCCTACCCCAGTGGGTCATAATTTTAACAAATTTGAAGCTACACTGTCTATGTAAAGAAAGTTTCAACTTTTTGGGCCCAGTCAGTGGTTCTTGATAAGACTTTTTTAAAATGATACCACCAAATTTTCACTAATTCTTGATTATCCCCCATTGAAAGAGGGTGTGACCCTTCACTTGAACAAACTTGAATCCCCTTTACCCAAAGATGCTTTGTGGCTGGGTTGGTTGAAATTGGCCCGGCGGTTCTAGTGAAGAAGACAAAAATGTGAAAAGTTTACAGGCGGACAGATGAATGACAAACAAAATGTGATCAGAAAACCAGAAAAACTCAAGTGAGCTAAAAACTGATGATCACAAGTACTTGGAAAGAGTTACAGTATTTGAAAAGCAGTTTTTTTTTCATGCATTAATTGTTTTCAGAAGCTGAAAAGGTATGACTTGTATCCATGTTGAAAAAACTTCACATTTCAGGAAACAGTATGATTAAAAATAGTTAATCAAGGTGCTTTGAGTAGCAAAATAAGCTAAACTGGTATAGCTAATTCAACCACAGAGCTTAGTGAATTTTAAAATGCACAACCTTTTCAACTCTTAATCATTCTTAAAATATTTATATCATCATTTCTGATTCAAGGGAGAACTAGAGATATGATCAGAAGTATATCCATTGACTAATAAACATGTACATGTATATTGTGTTTTTTAAGTCATTAATGTTTGTTTGTTGTTAAATGTCCCTCTTGGGAATTTTTCACTCATACGGAGACACCACCACTTAAAAATAATGAAGACGTACAAGTCGGATTTAAGGTTAACATTCATTTTAGGAATTTTCAACAATTAATTAAGACGTAAAGAGATAACTCCTTCCCCTTGCCCCTTCCCCTTCCCAGACCCCAGTTTGTTCATGTATGCAAACTAGTCTAATACTTTGGTTTGACATAAAAAAAATGTGAATACATACAAATAGTTTAATGGTCCATCTCTTTGAATGATTTTCATTCCTAATTCTAGGTTGACCCAAATTCATGAATGAAATGTCAAGTAATCTTATCATTGATGCACTTCTATTTAATTTGATGTAGTCATATTATGAACAAGAGAGTGGGGATGACCTCAAGGGTTCATAACCTTAAACCATTAGATGTACATAACATAATAACACAAGAAACAAAATTATGTCTAGTCAAATGGAAGAATTTTCTACTATTTAGGAGTCGCATGATCATTTGTCATTTCAGGGACAGGGAGCGGCTAGGGAGATTGGAACCCCCCCCCCCCCCCCCCCCCCTGGAATTTGCAGAGTTATTTAAATAGGACTATATACTGATTTACAGAAGCAAATAAAAAATGACTTTGGATGCCCTCCCCCTTTAAAAACATGGACCCCACCATCATTGTTTTTATTTTGTTTGTTTGTTTGTTTGTTTTTTATTTTGCTCCTCAGAAAATTCTGGGCTGGAATTTTTTTGGACCGAGGTGTGGACCCCCCTCCCCCCGGAAAAAAATTCCCGGATCTATGCCTGTAACTGAATGTAATGTCGACAACGGGAGATAACTCTTCAGAATGTGAAATTCATCTATTGTGGCATCGATGATCCACTCTCTACGATCGGCTCATACATTCAGTGTCTGAGAGAGAAACGAACGACAACTCTGCATAGGAGATTGCCGATGATCTTTGATCCTTTTTAAACTTTAACCTAACCATTTGCATTTTGGTTTATTTTACCCCAATCTATACTTAAACTTGTACTTACCGACTGTCATAGGTCCTGTCAACTTCATGAAATATAATCCAATTAAAACACAAAATGAATTAATTTCCACTGATATACATGTAACACTGCACCATGTCACATGGCATGTGCAATCTAAAAATGATAATGGTAAAACTAGTACTAGTACTGGTAGGGTGACGCAAGCCCAATGTGATGTAGAAATTTTCAAAAAGGTGTTCACATACATGTACAGTACAAGAACAAATTTTAAATTATCATAACAAACGATGTTTTAACATAACTTTGCCATCTAGGCCTATTTCCAAAAACAGGCAAATTGTGTGTGTGTGTATTGGGGGGGGGGGGGGGGGGGGGACACATATAAATTGATTGGGTATGGCTTTTCAAGGAGGTTTTTGCCTAATCAAATACTAAAAAAAGTTTGCACATTTTGATAAATTCATCAAAAACGCTTTGTACTAAAATAATATTATTTGTTGTTGAGAAGATAAATTTAATTTAAAAAGTTCCAATTATGGGCCAAAAATTTATATCCCCCCCCCCCCTTTTTATTAAAACCTAATTTACAACATTAATTAAATTCTGATATTTCAGACTGGTAATGAATTAAGTATATGAAATGCGTATAAGAGGTTCATGGGTCACATGGTCACCTGAGCATTTTATGCTCGATTTGACGAATACATGTACTGTGTAAATTATAGAATTATTTGGACTTTTTCCTTGGTAAGCCCAATATGAAGGAGTGTGCATTTAGAGGCAAACACCTTAGTGCGGGTATTACTGTCTCATGACAGCATCTAGTTGTATATTAATTTCAATACCTTTGGGAACACGTTCACGTGATATACTTTTAATTAGGAGAACCACCCATTTAGAAGCATATAACAATATTTATTTTAAAAATATATCGAGTGAGTCTTGGAACATATAAAATGGGGGTATTTCAGGGCAGATTTGTAAATCAAACATGCAAGGCTCAAATGGTGATCATGTGTAGTTTTTATTACAACCTTACACAATACACGAAATGATTTTAAAAGTTGTGGCTTATTCTTCTAGGGTAATGTTAGACACTAGCTTATACTCAGTGAATGAACAGAGTATTATGCATGCATCATCCCAAAAGGAAATCAAAGAAGGATAACTCTAGTATGGTATCTGCTTAGCAATTTACGAAAATGTAATATATCAATCAGTTTCCCATTGTAGGGCTATGTTAATTTTGCAGCACATTTTAATTATGTACAATGTATATTGCACTCTAGTATGTTTAACTTTCTATGTAAGGCCATCTTTAAAAAATGGTTCTTTGCCTTCTCCCGACCAACTATCTAAAAACGGCTAGGAGTGAAACGGTTCACCCCGTATCGATTCACCGCGGTATTTTTACTCGGTTTGATACACAGTGCAAAATCTCTAATTTTCGGTTCGGTTCATTTTTCGGTCGGGATCGTTATTCAGTCGGGTTTGGCATAAGGTAAAACAAGTTACTCAGTATAAATGAGTATAGAAAACGTAAATTTTTGATGACTGATAGTTTGTAAAATAATTTTTGACAGTCAAAAAATTTAATCAATTTCTTCTAGTCAATTTGCAAATAAAAATTCGTAAATTAAGTGATTAGATTTAGTAAAAGAAAGCATAAAACAAGGTTGAATTTGTTTCCTTCTATCAAAATGTATTGTATTGAGAATAACCGTACCGAGACAAAATTATACAATACATATCGAACCGAAGGAGGTGTATCGTTTCACCCCTAAAAACGGCCCGACTCAAAACTTTTTTTGACCTACAGGAAACAATTTTTTTTTTTTAATCATTATTTACTGCTTTAACTTCACATTTGCATGTGTTTTTGAATTTAATAAAATTATGCCCTACCTACCCAATTATTTTACCCTGAGTTGGGAGATGGCATGCATTTTTTTTTTTTTCAAAGATGGCCTATAGCTAAACAAATTAATATAATGAATTCTGAAATAAATAAATTGTTTAGAGCCTTATTTAAAATACACATTCAAGAGGATAAACTTATTACACTTCAACTGTATGTGCATCTTTCTACTGAAATTCTTGGTCAGAATTTGTACCATTTAAATACATAAACAGGAAAAAGTCGATCGAAATTATATGTATCAATGTATGCAATTGATTTTTCAATTATTAATTAAGTTGAAATTTGTAAGCCAAGCCTTTTCTTCCTCTTGAAAACCCTCTTTACACTATAACAAAATGTTTTGGGGACTTTGAGAAAATTTGACATTCTCTTCACCATAAAAATTGGCACCACTATTTCTTCAAAAGAATTGCTGAAATAATGTATACTTTGATGGGTACTGTAGTGATTTTACTTTGCAAAATTAATAATTCATTCTTTCCATCAAAATACACCTTTAATTGATTCACCAATTGAAATAAATCTATGAAAAAATACAAGTTATAATCTCTACTTTCAAGAATATTCAATGTGATCTTATTTTAAACATTTCAAAAACGTACTACACAATAAAAAAAAAATGGACTTGATTAGAATGTAAACTTTATTTGAGTAAAATGAAAAGATTTACTGGAAAGGGTAAAAATCATATCACTACGAAAAATCAAACTACTGGTAACTATATAGTACCCAAATTCTGAATACATCAATGTACAATATACAGGGTCATGGTCACATATGGCATGTGTGTCTTAAAACAATGCTTGCTGTGTAAAGTAACACAAAACTGATACAGAAAAGAGAAACACACCCTCCAACATCAACCTGAGCAGTCATAATTTCACCCCATTTAGTGCTTATAAAGTTAATGAAATTTCCAGTTTATGTCTGTTTGTTAACAATGAAACCTAGCTTGTTAAAACTTAAACTAAATAATTTTATCAGTGTGACACAGTCTAACAGCATAATATTGCGTGTCACCATTTTCAGAATAATTTTACCTTAATGAACTTCCCATTAAAATAAGATCTTGGCAAATTACCCAACTATGCATGCTTTTTATACATATCTCTGGAATTTTCATATCAAATGGGACCTGGCACACATATCTATCTAAACTTTCTTTGTCCATGCATTTATATAATTAATCAATGATTTGGTTTCTGGTTGACACTCCCTTCCTCCTTCAAATACTGTACATTAAATGTAACGCATGGTAAACATGGTAAAATTCTTGCTTTCTAGCTAAAAATATTCTCTTTAATGTTGATTTCATTATCTTAAATTAATTTTTTGGCAAAGACAACATAAATATATTCAAACTTGTCAAGAGAGACGTACCTACACACAGAGCGACACAAATTTTCATGGACAAACACAATCACAAATTCTCATAATTGACTCCATTGATATATATGTTGCAGCTATAATTCTTTCAATATTGAATATGAAATGAGAGAAAGGGCTGTTTTCCTCCTCAGTTTATTTGTCTAATTCCTCCTCGTCTTAGCCCTCCTGCACTGAATAAGTGATCTGCTGATCATCTGAATTACTGTTACTATTATGATTTACAGATAAAATCACCATGATTATGGAAAATACCATAAATAAAAATCAAAACTATATCTGCAGCCTAGCAAGTGCATATACTTTTCATGTATTTTAATTGCCTCCATCAGTCTTAAATTACCATGATTACATATAATTCCAACTCCAAATTGATTCTGAAACTGTTTATAACTCTTTGAATATAATAGTTGGCATTTTGCAACATACCTTTTGTTAAATCAGGAAAAAGTATGCTGCGTTTTGGATTCAGTGTGAAATGGTGGGAAAATATAGCTCTGCTTGTTTTCAGAATTTGATCATTTCAGCCTGTGGTCAAGTTGAAACCTGCAGTACAGAAAGCTGAAAAAAAGAGATATTATTGAGTATGGTTAATCACCTATTCTTTTACTTTAGAACTAATCTCAGCTGTGATTCGGCTTGGCAGAATATTTGGACTGACGCCTCCACAGAATCATACTAAAGGTAGTATATATCATGCATTCATTTCACAAAACCAAAATTACTCAAATGCAATATGAAATTCAAGGTTTAGTGATAATTAAAATATATTACAGTGGTATATCGAGGTGAAAATTCAGACAACTCATATGTTTCTATAACCGTAACAGAAATGTAGATCGAGTGAAAATTAAGTCATAAAAATTTGTAATTATATAATTACAACTTTATATCCACACTGAAATGCTTTGAAAATCTGTTTATATGTCTGTCATAAGTATGATTTAATGTTATTTAGGGACTATATAATTTTGATCTAAGATACGCATCAAGTCCATCTTTACTAACAATATCCTAGTGAATCTTTTAAAAAATCTAAGAATTAAAAGTAGCTCGAGATATGACAAAAAATCTACGTTGTATTCATGTCAAAAGGTTTCCGTTTTGCGTTTGCTTATAATATATCTGTATAAAATATCCCAAGTATATGTAGCAAAAATTAAAAGGTCATTTTAAACAATTAACAGTATTAAAGTCCTCATTTAAGTTATATATAGGCCTACATAATGCATTAATGCAAAAGAGATCCAAATTCTGGTGCACCTTTCACCACAATTTGTTGTTTTTCTAATGGAATGATAAAAAAATGTCAAAACAAACACAATAAACAGAAAACAAAGAACAAGATTTGATTTGTACAGTCAGAGAATGAATGACAAATTATATAGTGACTGTAAACAATTCGCTAATGTCAATAATGACACGCAGTAAATTTATTTCCTTTGTTTCAACAAGCACATGTTGAATTTGTGCAAAAATGTAAGTGATAACACCCTAAGATCTTCTAAAACCTACCCAATACTCCGACAAATTCCCCGTAAAAAGCTACTCAGGTATGCAGGTCACTCAGGTATTTCTCTTTCTTCTGTGTATGAACAGGTTCGCGGTGTCGAATAATAATTGTTTTGATTGGATACGACATTGACATCCGATAAGGGGAAATAACTCTAATGATGTCGATGAGAATGTTTTACACGATTCTCGGAGAAAATGCGAAAGAAAAAATGTTTTATTTGCAAATGAGATGCTTTTGAGTTTAGAATTTGCTTTTATTAATATAAATGCATAATATGTAATAAAGTCAGGTAGTTTAATTTTTTAAATAAAAAAAATTTATAAAAATTAATAAAAGATAATGTGTTGTCCTAAATTAAAGATCCATTCAATAAAAATCTGGTGTAGCATTCATCCCTAACATTTTTATTATGCTTCATGTGATTGTACATGTATGTTGTGTTCCGACGTTTGTTGAGCCATATGGATGTAATATATGCATATACTGAAATAAATACGATAATTATAATACGGTGCATGATCACATGATTTAGATATAAAAATAACTGTGTATACATGTAGGCTGTTAAAAAATTACTTTAAAGTCAACCCTCTTGAAGGATATACCAGTTGTGAGTCCTTCGGGGGAGGGATTAAGGTCCCCCTAGTAATTAAAAAATAACTTAATGCCCCCCCCCCCCAAAAAAAAAACCCGGACCCCTCGCAAGTTTTCAAGAACGAATCATTTTTATGAAAGAAAGTAGGAGATAACTTGCCCATAAAGAAATTTTATTATGCTTATCAAAGAATATTCGAGTTTGATATTTTTAACATAGGCACTCCCCATCTTAATTGTTAAAAAAATATATACCTACTATAGTAGGTATATATTTTTTTAACAATTAAGATGGGGAGTGCCTATGATTTTTAAAAGTAATTATGCATGTACATATGTACACTTAATTACTCCCCATCCACCCCACCACCGAAAAGGAAATCAGTTTAGATCGATCGAGCGAATAAAAATCCCAAAACAACAACTTGACTTTTGTCATTATCATTGGTATCTGGACAATGGAAACCTCTCCTAAAAAAAAATAGTATAGCATTAACCATAGACGCGGGGAAAGGAGAAAGGAGGAGATAGGTTTAAAATTTTCTGGCCCAGTGGTTCTTGAGAAGATGATTTTTTTTAAATGACCCCACCCAATTTTTGTCCTTTCTTGGTTATGTGTACTTATATTGAGAGTTGGACTTTCATGTTTATAATTTTGATTTCCCTTTACCAAAATATATTTTGTGCCAACTTTGGTAAAAATTAGCTCAGTGGTTCTCGAGAAGTGGAAAATGTGTAAAGTTTACAGACATACGGACAGCTAGATGAGCGGACGGACGGTGGAAAAAATAGGATCAGAAAAGCTCAGATGAGCTTTAAACAAGAGGCTTAGGGGCCACAACGCTCACGTTTCATTTTTGCCCTGCAGTTCTTCAGAAGATTTCAAAGATTTTTTTTTTCTTTTTCGCAATGAAAATTTTTGACCTAATATTATGACCACACACTTTACTTAAATAAATTAAAATTTGCTCTAAGTATACTGATGCATGTGAATTAATACATGTATATGCCTAATCATGGCTTTATTGTTGAAGATAAGGATTTTTTAAATTAATTATAATCATGATATGATGAAAAGAATAACATCACTATCTTTGGTATAAAATACATTTAACCGATAAATCAACTTGAAATATTAATGTGTCTACAAATTGAGTGTCTTAGACTCTATAAATTTACGTTTGCAAGTACCGAAATGAAAATTGACTTTTTGTTTACACAGACATTATCTTCTGGTTACCCAATTTTATGCTTCAATTCAAAAAAAACACTGATATTTAGTTGCATTTTCATTTATTTAGTTGCAAATTCATTAAAAAAATCATAATAAAGAGACGACTTCTTTTCGCCCTGTCTTTAGATACTGTAACTTAACGTACATGTAATTTCGCTGTGTGATTGTATGATGAATAGTTGCATAAATTTAACAAGTTTGAATTTCGACCATTGCAACCTCACATTGAACAAAGCTCAGACTCCTGATTTTTTTTTTTTATATAAACTTGTCTAGGGAAGGGGCAACCGATCTTGATAATTTATCTTTACATATATCTTATAGGGATTAGATTTTTTTTCTTGATCTTGAACGTTTCTGTTCATGAAAACTTATATAAAGTCTCATACACTGTGCAGTCGACTTTGCATTATATTACAAACTCTTTATGAGAGAGAGAGAGAGAGAGAGAGAGAGAGAGAGAGAATCCTTGGTACACATGATATAGGTACTGGATTTCAATTTCAATTCAATTTCTTTATTGCAGAAGACATACGTCTTATAGCAGTATTACAAGATTATAACAAAAGAGACGAAATGGACGGTCAGTCCTTATAAATCTATATCATATACATACATATAAACTTATGTTAACAGTTTTTATAGATTATATGGAGAATGACACATACGTGCAGATTAATGAAAAATAGTAGTAATAGTCGTATTAAAAAAAAAAAAATAAATAGCCAACTCAGCAAATGACACAACATTATATGTTTAAATCATTTCTAAGCGCAAGGGCTTTATAAATGAATTTTCCCAAATTAGTGAAATTACACAATTCTTTTACATTGTTCACACTTAATAACTATATTAATTTGTACATGGATGGCCTACACCAATGATACTTTTTTCAATAACTTTGATCGTAATGTCGGATACATGGGGTATACAAGTATATAAAATGATATTCATCTTCAATTTCAGTAGTACGTGTTTTACAGAATCTTTTGTCTATTGGTATATTTTTATGCCTACCCGATTAAAGTATAGTATTAAATATTTAGAATAATAAATAAATAGGCATATGAGTTAATCGATTTCTTAGTTTTATACCAATCATTTTTAGCTCACCTCGATGAAGTCGAGATGAGCTTATGCTATACCCCCGGCGTCGGCGTTAGCGTCGGCGTCCCGGTTAAAGTTTTAGGAGCAAGTCCATTCCCAAGTAACTATAAGCCCTACCTGGACCAAACTTGCATGGATGATGCATCTAGGGATGGACACTACCACAATTACTTCGGATGCAGGATCTGACCTAGATTTTCCAGATGAGTGACCAGGTTAAAGTTTTTGGAGCAGGTCCATTCCCAAATAACTATACGCCCTACCTGGACCAAACATGCAAGGATGATGGATCTAGGGATGGACACTACCACACTTGCTTCGGATGCTGGATCTGACCTAGATTTTCCAGATGAGTGACCAGGTTAAAGTTTTTGAGCAGGTCCATACCCAAGTAACTATTAGCCCTACCTGGACCAAACTTGCATGGATGATTTATCTAGGGATGGACACTACCACACTTGCTTCGGATGCAGGATCTGACCTAGATTTTCCAGTTTAGTGACTAGATTAAATTTTTGGAGCAGGTCCATTCCCAAGTAATTATAAGCCCTACCTGGACCAAACTTGCATGGATGATGCATCTAGGGATGGACACTACCACACTTGCTTCGGATGCTGGATTCGACCTAGATTTTCCACATAAGTGAATTTTAGCCATATTTTAACCAAATTAGCATGGATGATGAAGCAAGGCATGGTCACTTCCAGACTTGCTTTGGATTCTGAATCTGACCTACATTTTCCAGATGAGTGACCAGGATAATTATTTTGGAGTAGCTGTATAATATTATGGCCTGTTATGATTAAACTTGCATAGATGGTGCATCTAAGGATGAAAACTTCCAGACTTACTTAGGATATTGAAACTGACCAAAATTTTCTTGATTAGTAAACAGGATAAACTTTTTCTTAACAGGTCTATTTCCAAGTAACTATAAGTCGTAGTTAAACCAAACTTGCATGGACATTGATCTTGGGATGTACACTAAATAAAAAAAATATGATGTGAAATTTGCCTTACTTAAAGATAACATTCGTCGAGGTGAGCTTCGTAATCTTTGATTACCTGTGTTTCACGCATATGCAACCCTCAGTAGAAATTATTTATACCCTCTCCCACCCCGAAATTTAAAGAAAAAATAATTTAGTAAAAGGGTTCGATCAAAGTTTTTGTATTTGTCAATTTTTTTGAGATAAGAGATTGGTATTTTCTGATATATTGATACGGATTTGCTACAGAAATGGCAAATATCCAAATAAACGTCGATAGGTCGATAGTAAATAAATACAACCGATCTCTTATAGAGCTAAAATATAATATTGCTATCCGGATTGTATTAAAAATACATGTTTTAACACATGTTTTTGTTTTCAGAATCATTAGATACGTGGTCTTATCAGTACATGTATTTGATAAAAAGCATGAATGTTAAAATTCAACAGAAAAAAATATGGACGAGTTCATGGGGTTGGACATTCTGTATTTAATTTTCATTGTTTGGCGTTAGGATCTTGAATATAAATGATATAAACCAAACTTTTCCAATTCAAATTATATGATTTGTATAATCAGACAAAATATGTTTCTATTGCCTCCTTCAGTTTTACCGGTATTGGAGTAAATAAAAAGCAGATGTTTTCAAAACTGAAGATTAACAAGGATTCTGAGAGTATTGCATTAGCAATACTAGTCCCCTACTGGCAAGTGTAATCTGGTTCCCGTTAAAAATTGAAAATGCCAAAATTCCGCCAAAAATCATTGAAGTGGAACGAAATGCAAACTTGATCTATAAGTAATCAAGGTAAAGTCACATACCAAAAATCAGCTCAATATCTCCAAGCGCTTAGAAAAAAATCGCGGAAAACCCTTAAAAATTGAAAAGGTCGTAATTCCGTCAAAAATCAATGAAGCGGAACGAAATGCAAAACTGATCTGTAACTCATCAAGATACACTCACATACCAAAAATCAGCTCAATATCTGCAATCATTTAGGAAAAAAGTGCGGAAAACCAAGTGGGACAGACTGACAGACAGACAGAGGGACAGACAGACGGACGGACAGACTCAGAGGAAACCTATAGTCCCCTCCGGTTTCACCGGTAGGGGACTAATAAATTAATGAAGAACGAAGTGAAATTTTCTGAGGTACTGTGATTTTTGGCGTAAAAAATTGGGTACATTTATTGAAATTAAAATACATGTAATACAATTCAGGATAACTATGTCCCCGTTGAGAACAAAAATAAGAGGGGGGAAAAAAACAAAAATAAAAAAACGAAACAAAACAAACAGACAAAAAATGCAGATTAAGAAAAAATTTTGACCTAGATCTTTCAGCATTTAAAATTAAAGTCAACAGGGGTCTTTCTTAAGTTAGAGTAATTCATGACCTTAAGTTTTATTGCAAAAGCTAACAGAGAACTAAAGTTATCATTTGAAAACTACGTTATGCTCGTGCGCTACATGAATTTCTGACCTTGAGCTTTGATATTTTGACTTTAAAATCTTTAGGGGTCTTTTTTAAAGTCAGATTGACTAAGGTATAAAATTTCATTGCAAAGCCTCCAATAGAATCTATTTTATGGAGATCTGACCTTGAACTTTAGCCATTTGACCTCAAAATCAACTGGTCTTTTTTTTAAATGAATGTGAAAATAAAGAACAGTGATCGAGTCCATTTAAACAATGCAAATTATGAGCAGAGCCAACGCAGACCTCCGAAAACAGAGGTGGGATCAGGTGCCATGGAGGAGTGAGTATCCCCTGTCAACCGGTCACACCAGCCGTGTGCCCCTTGGCATGATCGGGTTGATTTGTATCTGCGATATGCTGATGACACAAATTTTTTGTCGGCAGCACCAGAAGACCTACAGTACATACTGAATGTTTTTACAATTATTGTGAACGATGGCATCTGAAAGTTAACACTAACAAACTAAGGTAACCGTTGTAATCTTTGGAAAATACAGTCCAAGAATTGAAACACCATGATTTACAATAAATAGAAGTATTAGAAATTGCAAATAATTTCAAATATTTAGATGTAAGTTTTTGTAAAAATGGTTCATTTAATACAAATATTAAAGAATTATTCAAAAAAGCAACAAAAGCTGCGTATGTATGCTGTTATTGGAAAATGTAGAAAACACATGCACATCCTTACTGTAGAATGTGCATTAGATTTGTTTGAAAAAATTGTAAAGCCTGTATTTTTAAATGGACGAGAAGTGTGGGATTATAATCGATCACAATTAGTTGCAAAATTGCATTTAAAATTTTACATCTGAAGGCATCTCATAGGCGTCGGAAGCATTTTGAATTGGGGGGGGGGGTTAATTGAGAGAGAGAAAGAATTCAAATCTGAAAAAAACTTGACAACCGAAAAAAAAAGGAAAATTGAAAATTGTCCAAACTCGAAAATCCTATTTCGTTGGGGGAAGGGGGGGGGGTCGAACTTCTTTCAGTACCAATTCTTTGTGAAAAAAAGGGGGGGGGGGCGAAGCCTTAGTCCCCCCCCCCGGTTCCGACGCCTAAGCATTTATACCAAATTTTATGGTATACGATGAATCAGGTAGATGCCCCTTTTGTTTGTTTTTTTCTCTTATGCTTGTACATGTACATTTACTCCCCATCCAACCCACCCCGAAAAAGAAATCAGTGTAGTTCGAGCGAATAAAAATCCCAAAACAACAACTTTTGTCATTGGTATCTGGATTATGGAAACCTCTCCTAAAACAAATTAGTATAGCATTAACCATAGGCGCGGGGAAAGGAGAAAGGGGGGATAAGTTTAAATTTTTCTGGCCCAGTGGTTCTTGAGAAGATGATTTTTTGGATGACTCCTACCAACTTTTGTCCCTTCTCGACTATGTCTCCTTATAATGAGAGTTGGACTTTCATGTGAATAATTTTGATTTCCCTTTACCAAAATATATTTTGTGCCAACTTTGGTAAAAATTAGCCCAGTGGTTCTCAAGAAGTGGAAAATGTGTAAAGTTTACAGACAGCTCAGACGGACAGCTAAATGGGCGGACGGACGGTGGAAAAAGGGGGATCAGAAAAGCTCAGATGAGCTTTAAACAATATGCCCAGGGGCCACAACGCTCACGTTTCATTTTTGCCCTGCAGTTCTTCAGAAGATTTTAAGATTTTTTCTTTATTCCAATGAAAATTTTTGACCTAATACATGTATTATGACCACACCCTTTACTTAAATAAATTCAAATCTGCTCTAAGTATATGGATGCATGCGAATTGATACTAGTATACGGCATGCCTATAATCATGGCTCTATTGTTGTAGATAAGGATTTTTTTAAATTAATTATAATCATGATATGATGAAAAGAATAACATCATTATCTTTGGTATAAAATACATTTAACCGATAAATCAACGTGAAATATTAATGTGTCTACAAATTGAGTGTCCTAGACTCTATAGATTTACGTTCTCAAGTACCGAAATAAATATTGACTTTTTGTTTTACACCTGTGTTTGTCAGTAGAATGCTTAATGTAGTATCGTTTCTTGGAAAAGTATTGAAACTGATGAAATTACTGATAGGTCATTTGAATATGGGCGGGATTTATATTTGTTATAAAATATGGCAGATGTACGATTTTCACCATAGGAGATCACAATGGCCAGGTTCAGCGGCTATTGGTTGGTGGTTGTCTTCTATAGTCTGGCAATGGCCTCTAAATCTCTGAAGGAGGGATACGACAATTTACAGTGGGGTAAGCGTCTACTGGGGAGCTTACTGACCACTATAGCCCAAGTCAGTCCGTTAGACTGTGCTGAGGAATGTCTGGTCCGTCCTGGTTGTCTGTCCTTTAACTACAGACGGGCTGCGATTTTCTGTGAACTGAATTATGAAAATGACTCAAGTTCTGACACAAATCTTACCGAGGAAAATGGATGGATATTCAGTCTAAGAGAAAATTGGCCTATGGTAATGAGTTAAAAAGGAAATATTTGATTTTGATTTAAATTGAAGAAGAAAAAGTTACATTTTAATTGTTTGAAAATATTTCTTACATTAGTATTTCATTCTGTTTAGGAATTGACGGGACTTTGTAAAGAACCAACCTGTTCTTTGAACGAGAAGTGTGAGAGAAAAGCATTTGGCGAATTTAACTGTACGATTGCTCGTGAGTTGATGAACTTAATTAACAAATAAATATCAAATTGACTTTTTTTTTACCTAACATATAATCTTTTTTAATTTGTCAATGGTTAATATCGTATTCACTCAAGACGTTGTTGCTTTATCTGCATCTCTTACTGTTGATAGTGAAAAAAAGATACTCATTGAATTCATAGTTTATCTTTCCGTATAATTCAATTTTTTTCATGCCAAATGGCACATCAGATAATATGACACATGTACAAAATTAACAATAATGCATGATGATGATGATGATGATGATATATATATATATATATATATATATATATATATATATATATATATATATATATATATATATATATATATATATATATATATATATATATTAGGGATGTCAACGAATATTCGAGTACTCGACTACCGTTCGATCATACCGACTATCGACTAAAATTTCTTTAGTCGGTTATTCGTTAAAAATGTGTTACCTAAAAGTAATTTTAAATTCAAGGTAATAAACTTGGATTCGCCCATTTCATTTATTTACAGATCAATGTTCTCGTAAGTAAAACTCAGGGTATGGCTTAACTGTTCAAATGAAATTATTTGTGTGTCGATTTATGTTCGGCAAATATGCCTCCAAAATCAACAGTTTTGGTATACTTTAAAAGATGTCAGGATGAAAAAGTACGTTATCAAGGTTATGTGAAACTGAACTTGTATTCTGCAGTGGAACATCAAATATCATGAATCATATGCCGAATTCGTCAAACATACATGTAGTAAACACAGTCTTCAAGTGAAACTTTTCTTTAGTAAGCAGAGACGGAGAGAAAAATGTTGCTATTACAAACATGATTATCATGGATTGTTTACCACGTATTGTAGAAAATGGAGAGGACGTTCAAGAATTGTTTGGTTTTGTACATTCGAATTATAAAGTTTCAACCTGAAATTCCATACGATCTGACGTAATGCAACTATTTATAAAGAATAATTAAACAATTGTTACAAAATTGTAAATACCTGTAAATTTGGGGACGGTTATGAGCGTAATTAACTGGTGTTTCTTTCTGATATTAATATCATGCAGTCATTTTAAGATTGTATTGATAATTTGCACAAAATCTCATAATTAAAATTTATCGCAAGCTCTCTCTGTTTTTATAAGAGACGCGCTTTAAAGAAAGGACAAATGCGGGCGTTTGATATCCTGCATTTAGATAAAATGTGCAGTAAATATATTATTAATTTTGAAATCAAATACATTGGATAAATGTAGATGTACTACGTATTTTACTACGTAAATGTTTACGATTCAGAAATTCGTTGTATAATGGTGATAGCGTAGGTTAAATACTGTACAACTACTGAACTAGTCTATAAAAGACAAATAGTGAAAATGACATGAAAAATTGATTTAGATTTCAACGAATATTCGACTATCGTTCGACTAAAGCCTCCGACTATTCGACTAAGCTGTCCGAATAAAATTGACATCGCTAATATATATATATATATATATATATATATATATATATATATATATATATATATATATATATATATATATATATATATATATATATATAAGGGATGGCAATTTGTAACCGGTTAACCGATTACTCGGTCGGAACGATGGTAATCGGTTAAAAAATCGATCTGTAATCGGTTAGTCGGAAAAATAAAATATATGTAAATTTGAACGCAAATTTCTTAAGCTTTACTTCTAAAAAAAAGAAACCTCTGCCAAAAAGTTGATAATTAAGCGTTTTCACCTATCTGTTTAAGCTTATTTGGAGGTAATTATTTCTCTCCGGATTGAGATTGCAGGGTAATTGGTCAGTTTGTGAAGTGTTAATTACTGTTTTTAAAAACATTATGTCATTACCCCGACTATCTTGTAATCTAATATATGTACATGTAGTTTTCTGATCAAGATAAGCAGAATGTTTCTAACTTCTAACATTTTTAGTCTTCATATGTATATGAATAGACTACCTGGAAAAAAGATGTCCAAAAATGTGTATTTTGATACGAGTAACCGATTAATCGGTCGGAACGTGTTGCGGTTAACCGACTAGCAATTCTGTATTCGATTGCCATCCCTAATATATATATATATATATTAGAAATCACAAAGTAATTCTGGTTTTGAATATTTTTTTTATATATATTACGAAGAGATACAAAATAGATATTTGAGGAACGTATGGACCAATCAAACATTTTTAGCTTTAATTGGCATATAAGTAAATTATTAAAGAACTCTAAGAAACCAATTTGTACAAGAATGGAGTAATATTGTCGATAGCACACCTAAATGTATAAATTATACAATTTTTAAGACGAACCTTTGTCTCGAAAATTATTTACTGAATTTGCTTTCAAAATTTAAGAAGAAAATTTTCAAAACTGTCTATCCTTCTTGAATCATCTATTAATGGATTTATGTTTACCTTTTCTTTCCTTTTTTTTGGGGGGGGGGGGGGATATACTTGTCTATTTTTGACCCTTGACTGTTATTTGTGTTTGTATATATGTATCTCCTGTTCCAGTTATCTGGTTTTGAGGAAAATAAGAATTGAAAGCTACTCAGCTTGCCCTAAATTTCCTTAATGATATTAATTAAATCACCGTTGAGTACTATGAACTGATTATATTGTGTATCCTACTCGTCTATCCTTTGCAGATTTTATTAAACGAACATTTTAAGTTAAATGATAGTACAGACTTAGTTCTGATAATGGTGACAATGCAGAATGAACTTTTATGACATCTGCTCTAGAAAGAATGAAGGTGTGAAGGCGCGGACGATCCCCCGCTCTGAGAGAAGACATTTTTCAATTCTAAAAATTCATGAAAAGTTGTATTTATCAAATGTTATATTGTCAATATAATCTTTTACACATTTGTTTCCTTTTTGTTTAATAAATTATTGACAAATAATTTTATTTTTCACTAATATTTTAAGGTGTGTGAAAAAGAAATCAAAACTTCACGGATGATTCGAACTCTCTCCAAAGCTCACAATTAGGCGTAAGACTGAACGCGTTAACCACTACGCTACGAAGTATGGTTGGTTTTTTTTTTTTAATATCAGTGTGGTTTTAAATAAAGGAGTTTGTTGAAGAGTAAAAAAATTTCGGAAATGTTTCATTTTCATATAGAATGGGTTCTGGCTCCATTTTTTTGAAACATGAAACATATTTTACATTTACTTTTCCGTCATATAAACGTTCATGAAGAATGGAGACTTGACCCATTCATATTCAAAAATCATTTTTTATGGCTCTAATAAACCTATTTTCCATTAAATATACTTTACTGTCAACTTTAAAAACAAATTAACAATCAAAAAGTCATTCAATAAAATAACTGAATCAAATGTGTTGAAGATGAAATTACGGAAAACATTATTTTAGAAAAATATAACTTTTCCGTGAACTTTGAAAATTGAGAAATATTATTGTTCCAGAGCGGGGGATTGGCCTCGCCTTGTACGCCCCCTTTCTTTGTTTCTTATTTCTCAGGCATGTTTTATGGTTTGCTTAATTTTTTTTTAATTTGTTTTGTTTTTTTTTTTTGCCTATTCTAAGATAAAATGAAATTCACCTTCTACATCATTCAAGCCACATAATAAACATATTTTGTTATTTCTATTTTCATTAACATATTTATCTTTGATAATAATACTGTAAACAGAAATAGTCTACATCATATTGATACAACTTTCCCTTAGTGGATGTCTTAATACTGCACATGTAAAAAAGTTCTTGGCTATACACCTGAAAAAATCGTCGCTTAACTATGACATAATCCCTAGCTTTGGAACAAAAGATTTAAACCAAGCTTATCAAATTCATTCTTAATTTCAGTAAACCTTTTGCCATTATTCCTTAATTCTGTCTTCATAACATGCCCGTAAGGGCCCTGTTACACCAAGCTGCGTCCACACGGAGTCATCACGGCGTTGTAAAAATGTTAAAATCGCAGTGGAATCGCAGGGAAATCGCACAAATTTCTGTTAAAATTTTACAATGTGAAGATGTCACGGCGTCCCTACGGCGACCCATGCGTTTCTACGGCGTTCTCGCAGCGTGCTACAGCGTTCCCAACGGAGATCTCTTCGCGATTAACTGCGCTTCCGCGGAGCTTTTACGGCGTGTTAGGAGTTGTCACCTCGCGTTCACGGCGTTCTCACTGCGCTTGCCGCGTTCACAATACGTCCACGATGCGTTCTTCACTATGGATATATATTCAGAAGGAGTGTAACACATTTTTTTTAAAGATTCGAGTCACATAACGAAAAGACTTCAAAAATGATATATTTGAATAATTTAGTACTAAATTACTGTAGTTTTATAATTAAAACCCTTCTTTTTTCGATTATATGAATTCAAATCTTTGATTTTATTATGAATGTATAGAAAAATAATCACACTGAAAAGTTGTTATAAAATTGAAGTAATTCCATCGCATCTCCACTGAAACAACAGAACAGGTTCTGGTGTAATTTTTACTTCCCAATTCTACTCCCATGCTCCTGGCCAGGAGTGCAACAAATACTTTAGAATTATTGCTGATCAAATATGAGGCAATTGCTCTTGTTTTGTGAGCTGGCTGACAACGCTCTAACAACGCCGTGAAAGCGCATTGTGATCGCCAACGTACGCGGTAGAAACGCCAAGGGAGCGCAATGATCGCAGTAACAACTCCTGGTTGTCGCTGTGTAATCGCAGTCAAAAAAATCACAAGACAATTAATCTCATTAGAAGCGCCATAAAAGCGTGATAGAAACGCCGTGACATCTCCTAGGACTCCGCGAGGTCTCCGTGGAAGCGCAGTCTACTATCACTGCGTTCATGCTGCAATCATGTGCGTCTTCACGGCGTGCGTACGGAGCTCCCACTGCGTTGCTGGAGATCTTACAGCGCTGCTACGGCGATCATACTACGTTTCTACTGCGTTCTTATCAGACGGCGATCACACGGCGCGTACTTTGTGCATGTCCAAAGTGCGCGCCGTCCCCTGGCGTTCTAGGAGACCCT